GACATCGACTGTTTTTGATTTATCAGATCAAAAACAGTTTTCCGTGCTTGAAACTCTGATCAAATCACGTTATTACCTCAATACGTCCTATCTTTGTTATCCCCCCCCCCCCCCCCCCCCCCCCCCCCACCACTCTACCCCGAGACAACGAGACTACTTTGTATGTTACAATAGAGTAGGCACAGGAGCGCATGTGTGGTATGTGCTTCCATCCAAACCACCACTCCCCCCTCAGGCGGGATTCTATAAATTTGGCGGGACAATGGTCCCCCCCCCCCCCCCCCGGGATCATATCTTACATCATTATCTAAAACATATGTTATACTGAAATATAGAGAGTGGTGAGAGAGACAGGGAGCGAGTAGCAAAATCCTCTACCATAGGGGTGGTAGACAGTAATACTTTAAGGATATACTGTACTACAAAAAATTTTATTTTATTTTATTTTTGAAATGCTTTTCAAAAGAATGGTAAAACAATGAAAACGTCGTATTTCGATCGAAAACCTATGGGGGTAGAAGTAAGGATTATTTTTGCCTCGGTAGGTTGTTATTAGGGAGGATTATAAGTTATTTGCAATCATTCCAAAAGTAATGGAAAAAACAAACATCGGGCATGTCATTGAAATTTTAAACCAAAATGGCGGCAACAAAAAAGAAAATTTTCTCGTCTGCGGTTTCTTACCAGAACAGTTTCCCGACAGTTTTAACCAGCAAAATCGTTGAATATCTTATCAGGGTGGAGTTGCCCTATGCCTATTGCACGCCCATAATACAGCTTGGGCTGCCTGTGGTTGGATGGCAGAACAATAAAATCCCTCTGCTATTGAGAATTGAATTCTTTCTCATGTAAAACGTATCGTTACTGCCATCCAACATGGCTGCCGTCACATGATGGTACAAAACCTCTATAGCACAAAATATAATTGAATTCTCCAGCAGGTTGTAGTTGGATCTTATGATCCTATTCTCCAAACCACACACATTGCCATATTATCAATTAAGAATGTAATTGATCATATTCAAATTTCAAAACGGAGGTGAGTTAGCACGCGAGATTTTTTCCAACAGGTTCTCTGCTTTTTTCCTTTTCTGAAAATAAGGCGAATTCAGCTTAATGGGGGTGATCTTCTTCCCCTTGTCATGAGGATATTACTCCGAGCTCTCCTGTTTTCCTACCTTCCTTCCTAAAAAAATATATAGTTTTTTTATTGCATAAATGAATAGGACAGCGTAGAAGCGAACAACACATTCATAGCAATTCCATATTCTCCACTATAAATAATTTAAGACTTTCATTGCAAATTAAGCTAATACAGTAATAGCTTTCTCTTCCGGTAGCGAAAGAAATCCCCACGTTTCTAGACGATTGTGGTTATAGGATGCTTTATTAGTTTGCAATCATATAGCCTCTAGATTATGCAGACCCATGTCGTTTGGTTAATACTTAATTCTGCGGTCTAGGCTTCAAACCTTGCTAAACTTACTCATCAAATATGTTTCCTAGGTTGTTCCTAAGGTGATTTTCTTTTTAGGAAATAAATGTTTAATGGCAAATTTTGCGTTTCATATATGAGTGAGTACATTCATGTAAAACTCTTGAAAATTATTTTAGACGAGTATCGAAAGAACGAACCCTCCCTTTTGAGTTACTTCAAGGGCGTTCCAAAAAGGCTTATTTAACCACAATAATTTCGAAATTTCAAAAAAAGTCACGCTCAACGAATTTTTTGGTTGTATTCGACGCAGACATTCAAAGGGTATATTAAGGAAAAATTTTTTTTTCAAAATCACTTATATGTGAACAGTGCAGTAGCATGGTTGCAGTATTTTTGTATGTGGACTTCTATTTTCAGAGATACGAACATTTGAAATATCAATATGCAAACGAGATGACGTAAATTCAAGAATGGGTTACATTTTGCATTGTAATTTACGACAAGTGTTCTGAAGTGAAATAACCTAAAAGTGTACAAAGCCATATATTTCAAACATAAGGATGATTTGCAAATGAAAAAACAGCAGTACTTTCCATAACAGCATTTTTGTATAATAAATTAGCCTTGAATTTACGTCATCTTATTTGCATATTGATATTTCAAATGTTTATATCTCCTAAAAGAAAATTTCACATACAAAAATACTGCAACCATACTACTACACTGTTCACATATAAATAAAGTAAAAAAAGTAAAGTACCTATATTTAACGTCGGTAGCTCCTTCAGTTGAAATTCAACTGCTATCAATGGAAGCCGACGGTGCGCACTTTACCCCCTCTCGCCATCAGTGCTCTGTCTTAAAAGTATTTAAAGCTGAAGCTACACGGATTAGAGAGAAGTCGAAACAGACGTGGAGATGAGAAGTGATTTTGAAAGAAAAAAGTTTCTTTGATATAGACTTTGATGCATCAAGGGTAAACACGAAAACAGTACTTCCAGGTCATTGTGCAAGAATGAAAATCACAGACATTAAATACTGGTGTGGAAGAACGTGAATAGAATCTAGAGTTTTCGACTGTCTTTTTCTGTTTAATTTCAGGAGAGGAAGAAGTGGAGGGAGGGGAGAGGGGGGTGAAAATTGAAATGTTAGTAACGTACAAGAAGGGTTGCCCTATTTTCTAGCTTTCACAATCCCTCAAGAGCCTTAATTTTATCGAACCGTAAAACAACTTCGAGGTTATCTAAGCTTCAGGGCACGGCTAACTCACAGATTGAACACTGAAACACAACCTCTATATTTAAGTCAGTCAGGGTACGACTAACTCACACATCGAACCATGAATCGCATAGTGGAAAACCCATTTAGTATTTTCTGCTCTCGCCAATCTCACCTTAAAAAATTTAAACATTTTCCCGCGCTTACTAACATGGTTACTAGGTTACCACACACAGCATACAAATGCTTTGTCAGTAATTACTGGGGGGAAAAGCTTTTAGAAAATTAAACAATAAAAATAAAGGCTGTCTTATCGGATCTTCAGTATAAAAAGAACTCAAAATAAATCTCTATTAACTGATTAAAAAGATGTTAAGTTTACTTAAAGAGTCAGTGACTAACAGTCAAAGAAATAATATTCTAAAGTGATAATCTAAAAAAAATCTTACAAATATTCTTATTAATTAAATTAATAAATTATTCAATATGAAATAACGGTTTTTCTACAAAA